GTTATTGGTGTATAGGAATGCACGTGATTTTCGCACATTGATTTTGTATCCTGAGACTTTGCTGAACTTGCTTATCAGTTTCAGGAGGTTTGGGGCTGAGACGATGGGGTCTTCTAGATATACAATCATGTCGTCTGCAAATAGAGACAATTTGACTTCCTCCTTTCCTATTTGAATACCCTTTATTTCTTTTTCTTGCCTGATTGCTCTGGCTAGAACTGCCAGCACTATATTGAATAGGAGTGGTGAGAGAGGGCATCCTTGTCTAGTGCCAGATTTCAAAGGGAATGCTTCCAGTTTTTGCCCATTCAGTATGATATTGGCTGTTGGTTTGTCGTAAATAGCTTTTATTATTTTGAGATACGTTCTGTCAATACCTAGCTTATTGAGGGTTTTTAGCATAAAGGGCTGTTGAATTTTGTCAAAGGCCTTCTCTGCATCAATTGAGATAATCATGTGGTTTTTGTCTTTGGTTCTGTTTATGTGGTGAATTACATTTATAGACTTGCGTATGTTGAACCAGCCTTGCATCCCCGGGATGAAGCCTACTTGATCATGGTGGATAAGCTTTTTGATGTGCTGTTGCAGTCGGCTTGCCAGTATTTTATTGAAGATTTTTGCATCTATGTTCATCATGGATATTGGCCTGAAGTTTTCTTTTCTTGTTGAGTCTCTGCTGTGTTTTGGAATCAGGATGATGTTGGTGTCATAAAATGATTTGGGAAGAATTCCTTCTTTTTGTATTGTTTGGAATAGTTTCAGAAGGAATGGTACCAGCTCCTCTTTGTATGTCTAGTAGAATTCGGCTGTGAACCCGTCTGGACCTGGGCTTTTTTTGGGTGGTAAGCTCTTAATTGCTGCCTCAACTTCAGCCCTTGTTCAGGGTTTCGTCTTCTTCCTGGTTTAGGCTTGGGAGGAGGCAAGTGTCCAGGAATTTATCCATTTCTTCCAGGTTTACTAGTTTATGTGCATAGAGTTGTTTGTAATAATCTCTGATGATGGTTTGAATTTCTGTGGAATCTGTGGTGATATCCCCTTTATCGTTTTTTATTGCATCAATTTGGTTATTCTCTCTTTTCTTTTTTATTAATCTGGCTAGTGGTCTGTCTATTTTGTTGATCTTTTCAAAAAACCAGCTCCTGGATTTATTGATTTTTTGAAGGGTTTTTTGTGTCTCTGTCTCCTTCAGTTCTGCTCTGATCTTAGCTATTTCTTGTCTTCTGCTAGACTTTGAGGTTTTTTGATCTTGCTCCTCTAGCTCTCTCAGTTTTGACAATAGGGTGTCAATTTTTGATCTCTCCTTGCTTCTCATGTGGGCACTTATTGCTATATATTTTCCTCTAGAGACTGCTTTAAATGTGTCCCAGAGATTCTGGTATGTTTTGTCTTCATTGTCGTTGGTTTCGAAGAACATCTTTATTTCTGTCTTCATTTCATTGTTTATCCAGTCAACATTCAAGAGCAAGTTGTTCAGTTTCCATGAAGCTGTGAGGTCTGGGTTAGTTTTTGAATTCTGAGTTCTAACTTGATTGCACTGTGGTCTGAGAGACTGTTTGTTATGATTTCCGTTCTTTTGCATTTGCTGAGGAGTGACTTACTCCCAGTTATGTGGTCAATTTTAGAGTAGGTGTGATGTGGTGCTGAGAAGAATGTATATTCTGTGGATTTGGGGTGGAGAGTTCTGTAAATGTCTATTAGGTTTGCTTGGTCCAGGTCTGAGTTCAAGTCCTGGATATCCTTGTTAATTTTCTGTCTGGTTGATCTGTCTAATATTGACAATGGGGTGTTAAAGTCTCTCACTATAATCGTGTGGGAGTCTAAGTCTCTTTGTAAGTCATTAAGAACTTGCCTTATGTATCTGGGTGCTCCTGTATTGGGTGCGTATTTAGGATGGTTAGCTCTTGTTGCATTGATCCTTTTACCATTATGTGATGTCCTTCTTTGTCTCTTATTATCTTTGTTGCTTTAAAGTCTAATTTATCAGAGATGAGAATTGCAACTCCTGCTTTTTTTTTGCTCTCCATTTGCTTGGTAAATATTCCGCCGTCCCTTTATTTTGAGCCTTTGTGTATCCTTGCATGTGAGATGGGTTTCCTGGATACAGCACACCGATGGGTTTTGGCTTTTTATCCAATTTGCCAGTCTGTCTTTTGTCTTTTGATTGGGGCATTTAGTCCATTTACATTTAGGGTTAATATTGTTATGTGTGAATTTGATACTGCCATTTTGGTGCTAGCTGGCTGTTTTGCCCATTAGTTGATGCAGAATCTTCGTTGTGTTGATTCTGTTTACCATTTGGCATGTTTTTGGAGTGGCTGGTACTGGTTGTTCCTTTATATGTGTAGAGCCTCTTTCAGGAGCTCTTGTAAAGCAGGCCTGGTGGTGACGAAATCTCTGAGTACTTGCATGTTCACAAAGGATTTTATTTTTCCTTCACTTATGAAGCTTAGTTTGGCTGGATAGGAGATTCTGGGTTGAAAGTTCTTTTCTTTAAGGATGTTGAATATTGGCCCCTACTCTCTTCTGGCTTGTAGGGTTTCTGCTGAGAGATCTGCTGTAAGTCTGATGGGCTTCCCTTTGTGGCAAACCCGACCTTTCTCTGTGGCTGCCATTAGTATTTTCTCCTTCATTTCAACTGTGGTAAATCTGACGATTATATGCCTTCGGGTTTCTCTTCTTGACGAATATCTTTGTGGTGTTCCCTGTATTTCCTGGACTTGAATATTGGCCGGTGTTGCTAGGTTGGGGAAGTTTTCCTGGATAATATCCTGAAGAGTATTTTCCAGCTTGGATTCATTCTCTTCATCACATTCAGGTACACCTATCAAACGTAGAGTAGGTCTTTTCACATAGTCCCACATTTCTTGGAGACTTTGTTCATTCCTTTTTACCCTTTTTTCTCTATTCTTGCCTTCCCGTTTTATTTCTTTGATTTGATCTTCGACCTCTGATATCCTTTCTTCTGCTCGGTCAATTCGGCTGTTGAAACTTGTGCATGCTTCTCGAAGTTCTCGTGTTGCGTTTTTCAGCTCCATCAATTCACTTATATTCCTTTCTATTTTGTCCATTCTCGTTAGCATTTTGTCAAATCCTTTTTCAAGGTTCTTAGTTTCTTTGCATTGGGTTAGAACATGTTCTTTTAGTTCACAGAAGTTTCTTACTACCCACCTTCTGAAGTCTGATTCTGTCATTTCATCACACTTGTTCTCCATCCAACCTTTTTCCCTTGTTGGTGAGGAGTTCCCTTATAGGAGGAGAGGTATTCTGGTTTTGGGTGTTTTCATCCTTTTTGTCCTGGTTTCTTCCCATCTTTATGGATTTATCCACCTGTCGTCTTTGTAGTTGCTGGCTTTCAGATTGGGTCTCTGAGTGGACGTTCTGTGTATTGATGATGAGGTTATTTCTGTTTCTTAGTTTTCCTTCTAACTGTCTGGCCCCTCTGCTGTAGGTCTGCTGAGGTCCACTCTAGGCCCTGTTTGCCTGGGGATCACCTGCAGCAGCTGCAGTACAGTAAGGGTTGCTACCAGTTTTCTTCTTCTGCTATCTTTGTCCCTGAAGGATACCCGCCAAGTGTCAGTCTGATCTCTCCTTTATGAGGTGGCTCTTTGGATATACAGGGGTCAGCAAGCTGCTTGAGGAGACAGTGTGTTCTTTATAGGAGCTCAAATGCTGAGCTCCGTTGTTCATTCAGAGCTGCTGGGCAGTTACGTTTTGGTCTGCTGCAGCAGAACTCATAAACCGCTTTTTGTTCCCAGGTGCTCTGTCCCAGGGATTTAGGGCTTTATTTATGACTTTCCGTTGTGCTGCTATCTTCTTTTTTTTCCTTCAGAGCTGCCCTGCCCAGCAAGGAAGCAGCCTAGTCACTGTCTGCCTGTAGAGGCTTTGCTGAGCTGCTGTGGGCTCCGCCCAGCTGCTGATTGGGCTTCCCTGCAGTCCTGTTTATATGGGTGTAGTTAGAACTACCTTGGCAATGGTGGCCCACCTCTGTATTGGCGGACTGTCTCTGTAATGGTGGGTTGCCTCAGCACTGGCGGGCAGCCTCAGCAATGGCAGGTTGCCTTGGCAACGGCGGGCTGCCTCAGCATTGGCTGACTACCTCCGTAGTGTTGGAGTGCCTTGGTAATGGTGGATGCCCCTCCCTCACAGAGCTAGACCGTCCTGGGTTAAGCTGCGCTTGCTGTGAAACTCTCAATCCAGAGAGTTTCTGATTGCTGTTCTTTTGTGGGGATGGGACCAGCCGAGCCTGATCGCCTGGCTCCCTGCCTCAGAGCCTTTCTTTTTTTTTTTTTTTAAGTTGGTGTTCCGTCGCCTGTTGAAGAGGCACCAGGATCTGTGTGTTTTCCCATGCGGGGCCTCACTGCGCTGGCTTAAACAGTGGCACTGAGATTCCTGGTGCATTTTTTGCCCTAGAATCTACTGTCCTGGTTCCCTGTTCAGTCCCCTTTTTAAACAGATGAATGGGTGACTTCCCGTGGCTCGGATCGCCAGCCAAAAGGGCACCCGGACCAGCGTATTTTGTACAGAGAACCGCTGCACCAGGGCGCTGACAAAGCAGCTGCACAGGCCGACACAGCAGCCCTGGCCGAAACAGCCGCGCTGGTGACCCGTGGGGCTCCTCCACCTGGGAATTTCCTAGTCTGTGGGCAATAAAAATGCGGCGTCCACTCACCCTCTGCGCTTTCACTGGGAGCTGCAATCCTGAGCTGTTCCTAAATGGCCATCTTGGATCGATCCCCTCAGTGCTACAATCTTTAAAAAGATTTGAACCAAATAACCAAACCTCTTCTAGGATACTTATTTCTTACAAAGGTAAAAAGCAAAATTGATACAGAGTATTTTAAATAACTGAATTTGGAGTTTTGAATTTTAGTCACCTGAGATTGTCTTTGATACAATTTAAAATTGTTTTAAAATATTTGTACTTACTCCAATCAGACACCAGATAAATGAGGCATTGTTGTATTTTAAAATCTTTGGGGTTTTTTGTTTGTTTGTTTTTTCAGTTTTACCAGGTTAAAAACTTAATACTTGTGAAATATGTGTATTCATTTCCTGAAGTCACAGATAATTATAAATTGAAACTAGAAATCATAGGATTATAACTACATGGATTACTCCAAAATGCTGAAGGGAGATTAAAACTAAGATTATGGATTTGATTGATTGAAGAGCTGCATGTCTTGATGTTAATTGGTATTTCCATTACCAGAGGGATTATACTGTGTTTAGGCCAAAATAAAATATTCATTTATATGAATATGGTTTATATGGTTCACGCATGAGAAAAATGTGTTAACACTTAAGTGGCATGAAATAATTTTGGATTTAAAAGGTGTGTTCATAGTAGGGTAACGATGTTGATAATGCTTTGCTTATAGGACTTCCACATGAGAGAGAATAATGCTGGCTAAGTTAACTCATTTGCATGAGTTGTGACCAGGACCTTTTAGTGTCATTTTGACAAGAATTCCAGACCAGAAACGATACAACCCTCCAGAAATGTCTTACTAAAATAGTATTCTTAGTCACAGGAGAGTGTATACATGGATCAGTGCAGTTTTTAACTACAGAAATGTATCCCAATCACTAGGTTCATTTGTGCATATATTCCTGTATCAGACAATAGCATTTACTTTGGGAATATCTGGAAAAACATACTGTTCAAGGCCAATTTTGAGAATATAAATGATTATTTATAACCAGTAAGTTCAGCAGGCTTTGAAAGATGAACTCTGTCAGTCATGCAAATGCAAATATGTGATAAGCACAATCAACAAAACAAACATACTGAAAAGTAGCTCATGAGATTGAGAATGAGCTGCCTGGGTTTTATTTTCCTTTTCATCTGGAGAGAGAGACAGTAATCATAATGGCCGTGAGTTGTTCTAAATGTTTCTAGGTGTTCTGACTTGCATATAGGTCAGTTTCTCTCTATTATCTGTGACAGAGTAAATCTCCCCCAAAATTATAAGTAACTTTTTTTTATTTGGAACACATATTTAATTTTTATTTTTTTTAGGAACACATATTTTTAAGAATTTATATTAAAATGTACCCAAAATTAAATAATCTAATCTTGGTTTGCACCTTTAACTGCTGGGTTAAGGTAGGGGCTCGATAAATAGTTTTGAACGAATGGAGTAATTCATATGAGGCTTTAAAAATTAACACAAATGCCTACAAATGATTAGTTTAAAACCACTATGTGTCCTTATTTTGCTTCTTAAAATTTATGAAAAATGACAGCTAGCAGCAGGGAATCATTCCTCCTTCTGAGGTGAGGCTACAGATGGCTAACGTAATGCCAGTATGTTGTACGGCTCTTGCGTTTGCTCTTGTAACAGACATTCCATGTGAAGAACAGCATGTATTAAAGATGATTGCTTTGCAAGGGTAAGGGAATAGTTCCTACCACACAGTATAACATTACTCATGAACTATTTGTTCTAAACTGCCTGTTCTATTTACTACCTTTCTACTTATTACGGTTATTACAGTTCTACTTATTACTTGGTCTGTGACTAGAGAAATACTTAGTGTTAAGTTTAATTTTTTCAAGTTACAACATTTAATATACAGAATACCAGTATCATGTACTTTATAGCTTTTATGACCAATTCTAAGAGATTACTTTAGCCCTGCATTTTAAGTATAGTAGGTACTTCTGTCCCTGGTTTGTAGACTGGGAAACTGAGGCTCCTATGTTAAAATGAGCTGGTCAAGGTCACTTAACATCGGATGTACCACTAGATTTTTTTTCTTATTGGTAATTGAGTTGTAATATATTTGATTATACAGCATAGGTTGTTTCTTCTGTTTACTGCCTAAAAATTTAAATTTATAAAAAACTTGATTGTCATTTTGGTGGCAAACATGTGTGAATGACTTCTTTTACATGAATGTGTTTGTTCTATGTTTTCTATTTTCTTTAAACAAAATAAGATAATTATATAAAGCCATCCCAGATTACCATAATTTGGAGAAATCTTTATAGTGATGAGCAGCTGAATTATCTGTTTAATATATACCATTTTTAAAAATTCTATTTGTGGCACGAAGAATTTTGAATAGAAACATTTCTGTATGTGACATAAGGAAATGGTTTTAAAGGAAAACCTTAGGGTCTAATTATGAAAATACATGATTAAGCTAGGATTGACAAGTGAATTCTGTTGCCATAGTGTAGTTTTAAAATTTTTATAAAAATCAGAAGAAATTTAGTAGGAAATTGCTTGAGGAATAGTTCTTAGTGGGCAGCCTCCCTCCTTTTGTTTACCTATTTTGATCTTAAAAAATCATGAAAACTGCCCTTAAAGAAATTCCGTTTTAAAAAATGACAGTGTTAAAATTAACAAATGCTTATTTCAGGAAAGCCAAGCAGATACTCTTTTAAGTACAAAGCCTGACCCATCATTAACAGTCCTCAAAGCCAGTCCAACATTTTAATTTGCTGATGGCATGGACTTCTTGATTTACATAACATGAATAGCCAAGTGTTCCAAGCCGTAACCCTTCATTAGACAAAATTTTTTAACCAATATTTCATTTTTGGCATTCTGTTGGAGGTGAGGTTTGACAGCTGTTTAAAGAATGTGTGTGGTGGTATATATGTGTTTGAGAATAAAGAGCCATACTGAAATTACAGAATGATTAAAATACAATTTAGTAACCCAAATTGGAATCTAGCTGGGATTCATGAGGGATTACTATTCTCCCTATACTTTAAGAGTAAGCTTTTTTTTTTTTTTTTTTAACAGAGTATAGGGACTCATACTTTGCCAATGATTAGTAGACTCTCAGCCTAAAGAAACAAAGGAAAGAGTATTATCCCAAATGTTTACATAGGGTAGTAAATGAAAACTACTAAGGTAAAAAGTTCAGCGCTTTCCGTAGATAGTAAATTATGCATAATATTTTATTTGTAACCCCATGTGTTAGGAAGGGACACTGTTAAAGTAACAATCATTTAAAAGCAACAACCAACAAACTGGTATTTAATTTGGTATTTTAAATAGTTAAAAAACAAATGGAAACAGTGTCTAAAGTAACTAAGATAATTCATAACAAAACCCATGAATCCAAACTCTACTTATTGTAAATAGAATTCACCATGAGCTAACCTAAAATGTACCTGTGGAGATAAAACAAGGGTGTAAGCAAAGAAATAAGATTTCAGGTAGCCCCTAAATTTATTTTTAAGAATTTTAGAACTAATTTTCTATATGCAAAAAGTGATTAACTACAAATTTCTTGTAAGTTAATTCATACATGGCCTTATTTGAGGCAATATATTTGTATTCACTAGCAAAATTTATGTCAATAAAGTATTTTTGAAGCATTTTATTTCCCACATATTTCACTAGTTTGAAATAGTCATTTCAGTGATTAGTCTGAATTTCTTTGAAACCTAAGCTTTTAATGAAGACATGCTTCTGAAAATAAGGTAATTTTGCTATAGGCTGCTTATGAATAGAAAACAAATCTTTGGTTTTTAAAGTGGCAGGAAGGATTTTTGCAAAAAGAAATACTAAAGAACCAAAGCAATTAAAAAGCTCTTGATAAGCAATGGAGAACTCCAAACCCCATCAAGGTCAGTAGAGTACTTAAGGCACCTCAGGTTCAGATGAGACTGTCATCTTTGCTTAGAGTTCTGATAATCTAAATACATGATTTTTGCCATCTTGAGACTGAAACTGAAAAGGTAATGTCCAACAAATGATTATGGTGAATAAGAAAGAAGAGAATCCTAAGAGTTTTGATAAATGGAAGAGACGTTGGAATCTCTGTTCTACCTCCCACATTTATAATGAGGAAACGAACGCCCAGTCAAGAAACAGGTGACATCGGTTTGTGTTGACAAATTCCTAATCCATTTCTGTTAGAGCAGGACAAATTCTAGACTTTAACTTTGAATGGCTAGTAAACCAAGTGTGAAGGGTTTCAGAGAGATGAATTTGACCCCCTCCCCCCAAAAAATCCTCATAAATCCCCAAAGGCAAGTTGGAAATGTATAATAGTTTACTGTTGTAATTCCTTTATACCATGTGTTGGACAACTTAGCTAATATGTTAATTGATTTATACAATTCCTTTCAATTTTATCTAAAAATAGCAGACCAAAATTAAATAAGAAAGTTACATAAGATTCCATTTGAGCATACATAAGGCCATGATACTTAATGTGAACCACCATTTCTTGGAAGAAAGAAGACATCCAAATGTCCGATTCTGAGAGAAAGTTCCTGACCAGTCATCCAGTAGACTCTCTCCACTCTTCAATGGGAAGGTGATGCTTATATTTTTAAAAATCTCTACAAAGCTCACATACAACAAGACAGTACATCCTAGATTTGTGACTGATATGAGCATTTAAGGCTGTCATTTTCAAGTATAAAAGTTTAGTGTTCCATTACCCAATCTGTGCGGTAGACATAGCTGTAAGCTCAAGTCATGTGAATGAAGTCCACCAAAGACATTTAAAAAAATCATAATTTAGGCAACAGCAAGTTTAAATGTAGGAAAGGCTAGAAAAAAATGTATAGATGAGATTGTTTCTCTAAACTGCTAGGTTGTTCACAATGAAGCTTTGTCTAACACCATTATCTTATGCATGGCATTTTCAATAAGGCAGATCCACAGCAGACCAAACAAGGAAGCTGAATTAGGTAATAGAACTAGCAATTAAGATGGGTCACCTCTAACACAGTTCTATGGCCTGTTCCCCCAGAAAAAGATTAGAAATGGCTCCAGTGTACCAAATAAGCTTCACAGAAGAACATGGAAATTTTTCTCCAACTTTTTTTTTTTAAGCAGAGCCTTTCACTTAGGGACTAACACATGCACTGCTTGTAGATGAAATAAATCAACATTAATTACCTCACTTAAGCAGAGTGAGGCTGGAGAAATTGGGTCTCTGGAAGCTGGTATTGTGTTTAACTTACTATTCTAGGTGTGTATATAAGTTGTCATTCTATAACTTCTGCTGTGGTTCCAACATTTATATCTCAAAGGTGGAAGCAGCTGCTCTGTTATAATTTTCATGTAACATGCTTGGATTCTAGGTCTTTCCTCCTTAACGCAACTTAAAGTTCCTTGTGGTTTGGTCAGCATACACACTTCTCATTTCATTTGATGTACACAGCCAATGTGGGAATTAAAAAAAAAAATTACTAACTAGTTCAGAGAGCTAAATTGAGTCCAGCATTATGGCAAAGTCTGACCCAAAATTTTAATTTGTAATTTTAGCATGTGTCTCATGCACTTTGGGGGAGCATCAAACTAAATCTACAATTGCCAGAAGCCTTGTTACAGTTTAATGCACATTAACTAAGTTGTGTACATTTTTAGTGTTCATGATAAATGCAATTATGACCTTATTACACTTTTGGCATTCTTTAAGAAAGCACATTAAGCTTTAATATAGAAATATTTAGGTTACACTTGTGCTCAAGTAATAATAAAACATTTGTTCTTTTTTGATCTCATACATTCTCTCCTCAGGTATGGCCCATCTCCTGTACGCTTGGAGCGACCTTTGGCTACGTGTCTGGCCTTGTTATTTCACCACTCTGGATATACTGGAATAGAAAGCAACTTACATACAAGAACAATTAACTGGAGCAAAGGGAGATATTTCTTTGTGCAGATTCCGTAAGGGCTGTGCAGAAATGTGTATGGTCAAAGCCAAGCAGTTCCATTTACAGCACTGTTTTTTATGTAGTTACAACATGATGTGATTGTAGCTTTTTAAACTATGAAACCCCTGAGAGATTGTACCTTCTAGTTGAAATAAAGTATTTATAATAGATTGTGGCTTCAGATGCTGTTTACTGCTTCTTAGACCTTTAAGGAACATTCTTAATAAACTTTATAGAATTCTAAGGACAGGTTTTGTTTTCTTTCAAGTTTTGAACTGCTTCATTAGCTATAAAAGGTCTGGGTAGCATTTCATATGCTTTCTGAGAGAAATAGTTTCCTTGGCCACTGAAGATGTTTCTCACGTAATTAAACAACAGTTTATACATCTTGATCCTATTCTTTTTTTTACAGTGTGTTTCTTTGGAGTTAAAATGGCTATGATAGCCTCATCAAAAACAGTCTTCAATCCCTTCTGGGTTAAAGCTGAACATTCCACATAGCAGCATGCTCCTATCTGGGAGGGAGAAAAAAAAACCACAAATATATAAAATCGTGTTTATATAATTGGCATGACATAAATACATCATTATAAAGAAAAGTATAAAATACAGCTATGCAAAAAGAATATATTCATCATCTATGTTCATGATCCCCAGAGGGGATTTTAAAATACTAGTATATGTCCTTCCAGACTTTCTATTAAAAATTATTTCATTCATCACTTATTTCCTGGGTATCTACTATATGCCAAGCACTGTTTAGGTCCTGGGGATATGTCAATGAACTGAACAAAAGAGCAGAGTCCCTGCTATGTGGCGCCCACATGTGCTGACATCTGGCTGAGAGGCCTGCCAGAGGGAAGACAGAGCAGATGGTGGCAAATGCTGTGGGGAAAAGCAGAGTGAGGGAGGCGGGGAGTGCTGAGGACAGTGGTAGTGGTGGTTGAGGGAAGCTTCTCAATGGGGAAGTTTGAGCAGTGAGGGATACCTAGGGGAAGAGCTCCAGGGAGGTAGGTCCTGATGCAGAAGCTTGCCTGGAGAAGTCAAGGAACAGTATCACACTGAGGAAGTGATATTTGGGCAGAGACCTGAAAAGAGTGAAAGAATGAATGATGGCTATAGGGAATAACATTCCAAGCAGAGGGAGCAGCAAAAATACAGAGGTTCTCAAGTAGAACTTGGAACAGCAAGGAGACCAGCAGGCCTGGGGAACAATGAGTAAGGCAGAGGGAATAGGGACTTGTAGGCCACAGTGTGGACTCTGGCCTTTAGTCTGAGCTGGGGGCCCACTGGAGGATTCTGAGCAGAGCAGTGACATGATTGGGCCTACATTTTTAAGACTTACCCTGGCTGCTGTGTTGAGAACAGACGATCATGGGGCATAGACAGAAGCAGAAAGGTGAGTTGGAAGCTATTCCAGTAAAGCAGGCCAGAGATGGAGGCGGCCTGAATCACGTGACAGAGGAAAAGGCAGAAAAAAGTGTCTGGATTCTGGATATGTTCTGAAGGTATGTTGTGCTGAAGAGCTAGACAGTGTGGTATGCGAGAAAGAGCAAGGTCAAGTATGATTTCAGGGCTTTTTTTTTTGAGACAGTTTCACTCTTGTTGCCCAGGCCGGGGTGCAATGGCAAGATCTTAGCTCACTGCAACCTCTGCCTCCTGGGTTCAAGCGATTCTCCTGCCTCAGCCTCCCAAGTAGCTGGGATTACAGGCGTGCACCACCACGCCCGACTAATTTTGTATTTTTAGTAGAGATGGGGTTTCCATGTTGGTCAGGCTGGTCTCAAACTCCTGACCTAAATTATCCGCCGCCTTGGCCTCCCAAAGTTTTGGGATTACAGGTGTGAGTCACTGCATCCAGCTGAAGGCTTTTGACCTGACTAACTGGTCAAAAGGGAGGACAGGCTTGGAGGGTAACATTAGGAATCATATTTTAGACATGTTAATTTTGATACTCAGGCACCTAGATGGACTTGTTGAGTAAACAGCTGAATAACCAAATTGAGAATTTAGGAAAGAGGTCCAGGCTGGAGATGGAAATCTAGGAAGCTACAGTTGCAGACTGTTCAAGCCGCACAACTGAGAGAAGATCATTTAGGCCTAGGGAGTGTGGCTGTAGAGGAAGCCACATCCATGAAGCTCAGTGCTCATCTGTGGGGCCCTCCAACCAGGGACCAAGGAGATGAAGAGATGGAGCAGAGGCCAATGAGAGGGGAGAAAAACCAAGAGAGGCCAAGTGAAGAAAGTTTCAAGAAGGGTGCAACTGTGCCAAATGCTGATGGGTCTAGAAACAGGATCATACTGTTGTGCAACTACTTTATTCCCTTTAACTACATAATAAATGTGAACAGATATTTTAGTGTGAAGTTTACTAGATGCGGGGAATTTTTGCCATTATAAACAAGTCAGCGTCTTTGTAGCTATCTCTTTACGCACATCCCTAATAATTTATTAAATATTTTAAATGGACAAAGTATAATTGTATATATTTATGAGGTACCAGGCAATGTTTTCTATATACATACACACACAAGTGAAATGATTAAATCAACCTGATTAACATATCTATCACCTCAAATATTTATCATTTTGTGTGGTGAGAACATTTAATTTTTGTAGCAATTTTGAAATACGTAGTCCCCCATTATTTCTTTTCTTTTCTCTTTTATTTTTTTTTTTTTCTTGAGACAGGATCTCACTCTGTCATCCAGGCTGGAGTGCAATGACATTATCTTGGCTCACTGGAACTTCCACCTCCTGGGCTCAAGTGATCCTCTTGCCACCAGGACCAGCTAATTTTTTTTTTTTTTTGGTAGAGTAGAGATGGGGTTTCACCATGTTGCCCAGGCTGGTCTCAAATTCCTGAGCTCAAATGATCCTCCCACCTTGGCCTCCCAATGCTGGAATTACAGGTGTGAGCCACTGTACCCAGCACCACCATTATTATCTGTAGTTACCATGCTATGCAGTGTATCTCAAAAAACATACTCATCCTGTCTAACTAAACACTGTACCCTTTGACCAACATCCTAATGATTTGCTTAGGATAAATTCTTACATATGGAACTGCTTGATCAAAACTGTCCATGATTTTAAGGATTTTGCATATTGTCAAGAATGTTTTGACTCAATGACCAATAGTACAACAGAGTGTCCTATTTACTATACCCTTGGAACAGGGGGTATTATAATTAATTTCTCATTTTTTGCCAATCTTACAGGTTCAAATTGAGCTTATATTTGACTACTAATAAGTATGAACATATTTCCTATCTTCAATGGCAATCTGCACTTTGGGGTGAATTTTTCATTGTTAGGCCATTTTTCTATTGGGATCTGTGTCTTCTGATTAATTAATATGCAAGGGGTTCCTGTATACTAAGGATGGTAACCCATTTTCCTGTCATCCATCTCAGGTTATATGACTTTTCATTTTATTTCTGCCATCTGATGTGGTATTAAGTTTTTATGCAGTTAAATCATTATTTTCATTTATGACTTTTATCTTTATGACATTTAGAAATTCCCTCTCTCCCCAAGATTACAAAATTGAATGCATGGCATTTCTGAAGTGATTTGTTAGTAAAGCCATTTATCTTTTGCTTTAGGAAAAACTGTCCTTCAGAAAGTTTTCTTGCTTTTTTTGCTTCCTGATAGTACATTTTAAAAGACCATATATAGTTTCTGTTTCCACAAAAGTCATATTGCAACCACAACATTTAAAAAACAGAATCCAATAATGTTAAGACCAAATGGGAAAAAAGTAAACCTAGCGTTGGGGCAAGAAGGAAGATAAACTACCACTGTCATATGTTTTTTTAGAATTTTAGTACTTTCTATCCTTTTTTCATAAAAAGATTGGAGAAATTTCAATACATTTCTTTTCAAACCTAGTCATCATTTTTTTGGTTTTAACCACAAATTTAAACTGCCATCCTATGTGGCTCCACTACCTAACTCAGTGAGTCAAGACAGCTGATTTGGCACACTGCACATGGTTAAGTAATGAAGAAGGGCTGAAAGTAGTGACACGTATTTCTGATGCTTTCCTCTATATGTGACTTTTTAGGAAAATACCATTGGCAATGTAGCACAGGTATAAGAGCCTATGCCCTGGAGTCAGGCTTTGGACTGAAACCCAACTCTGCCATTTACTACCTGCAGGGTCTTGGGCTAATTATCTGACATCTCCAAGCCTCCAGTCTCTCTTGTGTGTAACAGGGGAAACAGACCTACCTCACTGAGTTCATGCAAGGATTAAATGAGATAATGCATGTAAAGCACTCAGCACAGTGCCTGGCATACAGTAAATGCACAATAAATGTTAGCTTCTATTGTTATCTTAGCTTCTTTTACGTTCATGCTTAAATTCTCTAAGTGTTCCATTACCTCTTTTGCTAGTTTCTGTCCTTGTTCCACACATATAGGTTTTTCTTTCATATCATTCAGTCTTGCTAAAGTTTTGGGGTCATCTCGCAGATCAATCTAATTAAGAAAGGTCAATAATATCCCAAAATATTACAAATATTTAAAGAAAAAGCATGTAATCCCACTTAATCCCCACATACTAAAAAAAGATTAAACAAAAGAACTCAATTTTTAAAAACCAGGAATATAATTGCTTTCTTTTGGTACAATTTTTTTCCAAAAATATGATAGAACTCATTAACTAGCAGCTGAGATTAAACACTTATATCATTTGCTCAACCTTGGGACCATTTGTCTGAGAGCAACCCTTAATATAGGCAAAGAGCTTATTGTAAAATGCAGAAAATCAAATCAGACATACCTGAGTTCCTATTAATAAAAAGGGTACATTTGGTGCGTATTCCTTAAGTTCCGGTACCCACTCCTCTTTCACATTTTGAAATGAGGCTGGATTTACCACCGAGAAGCATATAAGGAAGACGTCGGTCATTGGGTAAGATAAAGGCCTCAGACGGTCATAGTCTTCCTAAAGAACGAAGAAAAGCCTCATTATGTGTTTACATTTCTATAGTTTACTAATAATATGTACATCAGATTACGTGGTCAAAGAGGCAAATTCAGGAGTACTCCACTAGTGGAATGTATGGCACTCTACATAAAATCAGATAACTCTGTTTTTTTTCTTCTTCCTTGTCAAGTTCTGAACACCCGAGAGGTAAAAAAAAAAATATGACAATATCGTTAACAATGACAATATCGTTAACAATGACAATGAGAACCTCAGAAAAATACATTGTGATCACTAACGCTGTCACTAAAAACATTTTTTTTCTTTTTTTAAATTGCATTTTAGGTTTTGGGGTACATGTGAAGAACATGCAAGATTGTTGCATAGGTACACACGTGGCAGCGTGATTTGCTGCCTTCCTCCCCTTCACCTATATCTGGCATTTCTCCCCATGCTCTCTCTCCCCAACTCCCCAACCCCGCTGTCCCTCCCCTACTTCCCCCCAACAGACCCCAGTGTGTAGTGCTCCCCTCCCTGTGTCCATGTGTTCTCACTGTTCAACACCCGCCTATGAGTGAGAACATGTGGTGTTTGATTTTCTGTTCTTGTGTCAGTTTGCTGAGAATGATGGTTTCCAGGTTCATCTATGTCCCTACAAAGACACGAACTCATTGTTTTTGATGGCTGCATAATATTCCATGGTGTATATGTGCCACATTTTCCCTGTCCAGTCTATCATCGATGGGCATTTGGGTTGGTTCCAGGTCTTTGCTATTGTAAACAGTGCTGCAATGAACATTCATGTGCACGTGTCCTTATAGTAGAACGATTTATAATCCTTTGGATATATACCCAGTAATGGGATTGCTGGGTCAAATGGAATTTCTATTTCTAGGTCCTTGAGGAATCACCACACTGTCTTTCACAATGGTTGAACTAATTTATACTCCCACCAATGTGTAAAAGTGTTCCTATTTCTCCACATCCTCTCCAGCGTCTATTGTCTCCAGATTTTTTAATGATCTCCATTCTAACTGGCGTGAGATGGTATCTCAATGTAGTTTTGATTTGCATTTCTCTGATGACCAGTGATGATGAGCATTTTTTCATATGTTTGTTGGCCTCATGTATGTCTTCTTTTGTAAAGTATCTATCTGCTCATATCCTTCAGCCCTTTGTCAGATGGGTAGACTGCAAAATTTTTTTCCCATTCTGTTGGTTGCCGATTCACTCTAATGACTGTTTCTTTTGCCGTGCACAAAGAATTGAATATAGCTAGATGTTACCTAAGTACTATAATTTATAACAACCAATACACACTGAATATTATGTGTCAGGCACTAGTCTATATGCTTTCTCATGGATTACTTATTCAATCCTTGTAACAACAATAGGCCACAAGTACCGTTAATCCTGACTTTCATTTGAGTAAACTGAAGCACGGAAGTTAAATTACTTGTATAACAATGTACAGCCAGTAAGTTAAGGAGCTAAGATTCTAATCCTGGCAGTTTTTACTCCAGAGTCTATACTCTTAATCACTATACAGTTTCACTGAGACCTTCAAGTTTTGCTTTCCTTGTTTCTATAGTTTTAGTAATTATGTGTGTATATAAAAATTTAAAGAGAAACATATATAGTAAACCCACCAAAATCCTCCTTTACTCTCCAATTTCCATTCCCTCTACCTAATATTTTCATATTGATTCTTCCAGTTCTTTTTCTATGCATGAATATACCAATCACTGTATATATTCCTACCTCTGTACATACAGTGAAATCATGTAGCACTTGTTGTTCTGCACTTTCTTTGTCTTGGACATCTTTCTAAAGCAGAACATGTTAAGACTCCCATATCATCTTACACTGTTGCTTCAAGTCCACAGAGCAGCTATACTCCTGATGGTTATTTTAGTCTATCACAAAAGGCAGTGAGTATCCTTTTTTGCATAGACTATTTTATGTGACACAAAATTCTACTTATTTACATTCTCGAGAGTGAACAGAGTCCGGATTCCATTTTTGGCATAGCTAGACTCTCATCTGGTTTCAAAGAAACTTTATTTTTAGCCTGGGCCACCTCCCCTCTTAAACGACTCACTTCACTACAGAACTACACAAATGTGGAACTAAGGGAGTATTAAAAACATCATCTTCCACTTGGGAGTTTCAGCAGTCGTATTTCCCTCATGGAACAATTTTCCTTTCATGCAATTTTCTGACATTTTTCTTAATAAAATTTTTAACTCAAGCACGCTTGACTCAAACACTTGACTGGTGGGTAACCCTTTAGTTTTTCTGTGATGCCTTTGAAGGTCACACCTATAATCTGCAGCTGTGGGTGTTAAAAGCTTTCTCCGGTGTTGGCTATCGCAGGACACAAGGGGAAATGCCACCCTCAATCTTTAGCAATTTTTATTTTTTTTAAGTGGAAGCCACTAAATGGCTTTAACTAAAGTAGTGCTCTGGTGTTAAGAAATTCGTAATGAAGAAATCAAGTAGGGTGGTTATGAAACACGTCACACCCCAGACAGTTACTAGGGGAAGACTACTCTTGGAAATGTAACGTTTTTAAAATCAGCTTGTGTTAAACAGTACAATCAGGTGCCTTATATGTACTTTCTGTGCCCTACTGCCTGTTTCAAACTGCAAGTCCATAAAAGAAAAAAAAAGAAACAGTATTTCATCTTAGCATCCCACCCAGCAACTCCACACTTCTGAGCCAACCTGCAGTTGGCATGGCCGGGAAATGGGGTGTTCTCATTAAAAAGCACTCCTCATCCATATTTAGATTTCCAATTTTCACAGAAATAGGAATGGGGATACTATCCCACAGGATTATGAGGAATAAACGAAATAATGCAACTAAAGCACTGCACATAGCACCTGGCACATCAAAGAACTCTCTGAATGCTTAAACATAAATCCTTTATCCCACGGGAAACTGATTCTCTTACTCTGCAAATCCATGCAGGGTCCCATGAGTCCCACACTCGTCCCAGCTTTGCAGTTCCCTCCAACCACAGCGAAGAAACCCCTTTAGTAAGAAATACAATTTTCTACAACTGGCATCAAAACCCACAACACTCAGGTATCTTGAGACAGTACAATTTTCAGATGAATAATAATGATACATTATTACTGCTAATTAGTCACTTAGCCTTAAGACATATAAAATGCAACAAAGATTTATATTTAAGAAAGCCAAATGAGAGATTTTCATGGAAATTTTACTTTTCAAGCAAGTTTACCTCCTCAGGGAGACAGAGTGTGTGCTCTTTCTCTGGTGGGAGATGACAAGAAATAACAACTAATTGAATGCTATGTTCTCTAGAGATGCTTGACGGTATTAATCCAAATATTTTTCAGAAGGTAAATATATTGTACAGATTTCTTTCATAACCACAGTGAATCCTGACTTTCCTTTGGGAGAGACATGTGGGCACAAAGGAGGGCAATTAGACCAATCATTTCTAGATATTTCTTAAATTGTAGATTTTGTTTGAATAATTAAAATGTGAAGAACTGGGGTTATTTAAAAAAAAAAACCACATATGTTTAGACCTTCTTGAAAAGAAATGTTACTTCTTAAGTCCGAACTATCTCAAATGAACTCTTTCTGCCTGTCATCTCTAGCTAAATAACTGGCAGTTAGTGGCCAGGCGCAGTGGCTCACGCCTATAATTCCAGCACTTTGGGAGGCTGAGGCAAGTGGATCACCTGAGGTCAGGAGTTCAAGACCAGCCTGGCCATTATGGCAAAACCCCGCCTCCACTGAAAATACAAAATTAGCTGGGCATGGTGGCACGTGCCTGTAATCCCAGCTATTCGGAGGCTAAGGCAGAAGAATCACTTGAACCCAGGAGGTGGAGGTTGCAGTGAGTAGAGGTTGTGCTACTATACTCCAGCCTGGGCGACAGAGCTAGACTTTGTCTCAAAAAAAAAAAAAAAACAAAATTGGCAGTTAGTACAAGAATGAGACCTTTCTGCTTCTAGCCAGCTGAGTAATTAGAAGTCTAATAATAGATAGCAAATTTAGAAAATAAATTATCCCCTGTGCATACTGTACCCTGCACTATCTAAAATGGTTTATATCTACCACACAGAATCCTGAGTGAATTTAATATGAAATGTGGGCTTCGGGAGTGACTGAGTCAAAGTGTGCAGAATCTTTCATCTCGAGCCATGTATTTTAAATTTGAGAACACAAAATCAAATGTAGAGCAACTGCCCTTACTTTTAAAAGATCAACTTATCAAAGTCAGAACTTCTCACCACCAACTCTCCAGTGTCCTCCTAATTAACAAACCAATTATATTTTAGTTCTAATTTTAAAATGTAGGTATTTAAACATTTCAGCATGGTAACTAGAACATTCTCAGGAGTAAAGTGTATTAAAGACAATTGTTCAACATCAAAACAATGAAAAAACTGGTGAATTTAGTCAATATGGCTGTTGGAGTCTGCAGGGCAGACTCTTTAGCTTTTTACCACTTGGTTAAGTACCAGAAGTATCAAGTTTTTAAGTGTGTTCTGGTAGCTTAGTGATTAGGCTCTCCCTTATTGAAGAGTCCTTGATAAGTGATAATGACAACCTTAACCTTTAAAAATACTACACACAGCCAGGTGCGGTGGCTCACACCTGCAATCCCAGCATTTTGGGAGGCTGAGGTGGGCAGATTGCTTGAGTCCAGGAGTTCAAGACCAGCCTTGCCAATGTGGTGAAACCCTGCCTCTACTAAAAATACAAAAATTAGCTGGGCATGGTGGCATACGCCTGTCGTCCCAGCTACTCAGAAGGCTGAAATGTGAGGATCTGCAGGTGAAGAGGTTGAGCAGTAAGCCATGAACATGCCTGGGTAACAGAGTGAGACCCTGTCTCAAAAAAAAAAAAGAAAGAAAGAAAAATCACACACCACCATCTGACAAAAATCTGCAACAAAAAACTGAAGAAAGGTGCTCTGAGAGGAAACAAAAGATCTTCTGATGCCACAGAGAAACATAGCCAGTGGCCATCA